AATTATTTAAAAAGTAAACAGTTCTAGATCATCTTTCCTGATCTGCATTCTGCATATAGTTTTGGGGTTTTTTTTTTTAACATTGTTAAATAACAGGATCATTTGAACTTGCAGAAAATAGATCCTGAAATAGATCTCTGCACATTACGCTGCAATAAATAATATGGCAAAAAATTATATACCAATGTGTTTTTAAGTGATTTATCTATGTTTATATGGCTGTTTTCTTCGCACGTTGACTACAAGTTTTTCTCTAAAACACCCACTGTCTGGCACATGAGATGTTCTCTTAAAAAAAGTAAGTCTCTGCCAGTTTATTTTTCAGTTTTCTGTGGTAAAATCTGATTTTTTTTTTGTGAAGGGTAATTTGTAATTTGCTCTGTCATTGATTATCACTTTCATTGATTTTCCACTTGCATTTGACCATTAATATGTGTTTTTTCAATATTGATATAAAAGATTAAAAGGAAAATCTCAATTAATAAGAATCTAGAATCTAATAAGATGAACTTAATGGAAAAAGGAAATTCATGGAGAAATAAGTCTTCAATTGTAATGTTTATATTTTATGGTATATATGGTTTATATCTCATGTTAAAATGAATTGACATTAAAAGATTTTTATTCTTTTTCTAAACATGATACTTTCATTAAATATAAAATGTTTTTCTCTCTGTAGAATGCCCAAAGAAATTTAGTTCATCTGTGATACTAGCATACATGAGGTGATACTTCTTGTCCAAATGTTGGTATCAGAAGTTGTTCTCATATTAGAGAAACTGAGAAAATACAGTACTGCAAATGCTTCCATTGTGATTCTTGTACCTCAGTGCTTCTTACTTTAATTTATGGCAAGAATGGATTTTAAGTCTTTTAAAGCCTTTAGCTCTGAGACACTGAACCATAGCAAAAGTGTTTTTCCTTACTGGAATTAATTTGTTCAGAGTGTGTACCAATAAAGAGCTTTGTCTATTGCCTCAAGACTAGAATTTAGTTTTTTTGTGAATAAATTACAAGGGAATCATTTGTATATTAAAATTAATTAATATTATCTATTTTTCCTACCCTACAAAGCCTTGTTATACTAGCATAGTAAAATAACTCGCAGAATAATTCTTCTGCTGTTACTAAATGATTCGTATTCCATGTTTCCATTGGTGGCCTGCACTAATGAGAAATTAAATTTTATATTTGGCAATAAATGAGCAGAAAAGAACTAGGAGTCATTCTGCTGATGATTCTCAAGAAGGCAGCATCTTAGGTAATTATAATAGGTTGCTCTGACATCAAAATTGGTACACATCAGTGTGTCTTAATACTCAAAAATGAAATAATCGTAGATCTTTTGGGTGTCCTGCCTCCAGGGTGTTATTATAGAATATCATCAGTCTGCAGCTGTAAAAATGACTTTTTGAATGTGTCATTATGTTTCTGAAGGAGGAATCTCTTGGAGTTTTTCATTAGCCTGCAATAAATGACCCAGAGCTTGGATAGATACCTTCTGTGCTGCAGCTGGACTCACTGAAGATGTGGGTTTCAGACACAGCCCGTCAGAGATCCGCTCTCACCTTCCTGGCCTTGTTCCTCAGTGTAAGGGGCTTTCCCCTCTAGCTCATTAGACATGGAGCCTAGTGTTGATCCTCCCAGCCATCCCGTGACATGCTCCACAGAGTATTAGTGATTTGTTAGATTCTGCAAACTACCATTTAAAAAATATAAAATGCAACAGTAGTTTGCAGAATCTAACCCTGGCTTTAAAAAAATGTAAAATGCAAAGCCAGAGATGCATAAATTTTGCAGATAAATTCTGTTTTATTAGGGATGAGAGATAGATTTCTCCAAAACATTGTCTGTTTTCAAAATCCTCTGTCCCTCCACTTTCTCTGTCCCCAGGTTGCATCTTTAGAACATTTGGAGACAGAACTCACTTTATTAAAGTCTACGTTGCTGCCACAGGTTTCTCTGGCCTCGCTCCTGTATATATGCACACTTACCATGCAGCTCACTGCTTTGGTAGATCAAGCCTCCCTGACTGGGGAGATTTGCTCTTGAGGCTATAACCTGCAACTGGTGTTGAGATGCTGGCACTTGAAAGGTAGCTTAGGAGGTTAATGACTTCAGGTTACTAAATCTCTGCTAGGTTGCTCAGATGTTGTCTGAACATCTTTCTTGATAGTCTATCCAATTTGCAGGTAAAATAACTAGAAAGAAATACAATTGTTGGGGGGTTCAGATTTCAGATATATTCTAATTGGTCACTGTTGCAAAGTTTCAGAAAAAAATAACAAAATCCTGGCAGCAGCAGAAGTAGCTGTAGACAAATAGGGACATATTCCTATATGTTAATAAACCTCTGCTTACAAACTTAAACAACCAAGCATGGATATTCAAGTCTCTTGCAAGGCTTTTCTGAGTGTTTACAGTGCTGACAGTGCTGATGGATATTACACGCTGTAAATGATAATATAAAAAATATAGTAATTCAGTAAATTGTGTTTTCCTAACAATGCTGGTGCAATTCGAAGTCTAGAGATTTAACTTATCAAGTGTAGTCATGTATGATCTGACATTTGTTTGCTTTTTTTTTTTAAGCTCCAGACCAGTCTGTCTGAACCAATGACATTATCCAAGTCAATCTCCCTTCCTCGCAGTGCATACTGGCATCACATCACCCGGCAGAACAGCGTTGGAGAAATCTACAGTTTACAAGGCAAGCGTCTTATAAATAAATGCAATGTCCATTAGCTTCCTTCCATTTGATCAAAATTTATGCAAATTGCTTTTTGTTTGCATTGGTTGTTTTCTCTCTATTTCAGTTTATCATTTGTCAGCAACCTCAGCAGGATTCCCAAATCTACATAAAGCAGGTTTCTTTTAGTCATTTCATAAACTAGTGGTGAAAATTATTCCCCAAATCACTACATAAAAATGGATAGCCAATTTGGCACAATGTAGCTTCTCACTAGCTAATGAATGCCAGGGTGTTTTAGTATTTTTCTTCCAATAAGACTGTGTGTGTATTTCAGAAGCTAACCTCAGGGTGCCCAATTAAATCTACATAAAGTGGCTGTATGAGTTTCAAGATTAAAGCAAAATAATTCTAGGAATAAGAGCTACTGTGGGTGAATTTGCTTAGAGAGCCATATATATGGTCTGCTTTGTTTGGCAAACTTACATGTCTGCTATATGTATATATGTTTGTATATATATATCATCATTTTCTGTCTCCAATTCTCTTTGGTTGGACTCTAAGGTATTTGTGTAAGAATTTAAATGTGATAAATAACATTGCTCGATGATGATTTACTTCTCTTAAGCTGAAATTGATTGATATCTTTTAGGAGATTGAACTTTTTATTACATTTAAATTGTAAACCTTAAGTAACAGTGCTTTTTCACTTCAAAAAAGAACAGGCTTTTGTCAACATACTCCTTTGTGTTACTTGACAAAGCCTTAAGTATTTCATTTCAATTCTTTCTTAATGTGCTGTTTGCCTAATCAATTTACAGTTATGATAGAAGGTTAGAAATTGCTCAAAAACAACAGTATCTAGTCCAAGAAATGTATTACTTAATTACTTTCATAAAACTAAGTGAAATGCAGGACATAAATGAAAGATCTGAGATGTTTTACATTGTAAATTGTCACAGAAATTGAAGAAAATACCTTCCAGAAGTTGTCTGTGAAAAATGTTGTACATCACCTTAAATGTTATTCCTCATATGACTGATAGTTTTGCATGAACATGGTAGAACTTGAAAGAAAAGATATATTTGTAGATCTGTTACAGTTAGTCTTGTTATATTCTTGATGGACTTTCCCTTTGGCCAAAGGATGAAAAACATGCATTATAATTACAAAACGAGAAGTATTTGGAATGTTTTTCATTCCTTGCCATATCTTTTGTGTCTTGTAAATGACAGTTTTAATTCAGTATAATTCAGGAAAGCTAAACTTTGAATATAAATCATATCTCAACATGTGTATCAACTGGCTTTGCAGGAGGCAGCATGTTGGAAGTGTATTATTAGAAACACAAGAATTCCACTTTGGGGAAGTATGCAGATTTTATTCACACTCCCACTGAAACACAAGGTTAATAAATCCTGAATCTAACTCAAATTTTTCACTTCTCTTACATGTACTGTGGTGATGATTGAAACTTTTGAAAGTGTGCTGTAGTAGATCTCAGGAAAGACTAGTTCAGTTTTATTGGTGAGCTAAGAAATGCATGCAAAGGGCAGTTTCCTCTCCTTCTGGTTACTCGAGTTTGACATGCAGTAATATTACTCTTCATAGTGAAGACCTCTTTGAACTGCCTGCAGCAAAGCTTACAACCGATTAAAGGTGAAGTATTCGTGCAGAAGCCTAAGGGAGCATGACATATCCCTTTAGCTACCTGCTCATGTTGGTAGTCTTTGTGCAGCAGACAAGGGTGGGTAGAGAGGGAGCAGAGTGTGAGCATCACTTCCACGCTCTCCTAGGACAGCAGCCAGCTGAGATGGGCTGTTGCCATGGGAAAAGTCACTTTCTGCTGCTCTTCTCCTGTATGTGTGAAAAGGCAAGCTACATCTGCAGAAAGGACATGTTTTCTCCAGACAAAAGTCCATCAAACTTTATTCTGCACTTCACGTGCATTTATGACAAAGCTTTTTACATTCATGAAATGAACATGGTAATTCCACATTTTCCTCTGAATATCTTGTCAATTCTAAAATGAATTTACTTGGGTGGTGCTTACCCATATCCAAATTATTGTCAGTATCAGTAAAACAACATCCAAACTCAGTGCTAAATACAGTATAAAAGTGTTTCCATAATTGCAATTATTTCAAACTTGCAGTCTGAAGTGATTGGCATTTAATAATAACAGCTGGTGATGTGTAAGGAGTAATGAATATGTGCTCATACTACCTTAGATAAATTGGCTCTTTGGGAGTTATTTAGAAGTAGAATTTAACTTAATTACTAGTATGAGTTGATATGATAATGAATATGCTGTAGAGTGAGAAGATGGATTGAAATATATATATATATTTCATAGGAGAAAAAGCAATTCAATAAATATGTATTGGGCTTAAAATTCTCCATCTGGCCATTAACACTTAAAGACCTGAAAAGACTTTTAAAAACTGACCTACACATTAAGATTTCACAAAGTATCTTAAAATTAGGTTTTATAGATCCATTTGTGCTTTCCTTGCACTTGATTACTTTATTCAGTCCTTGATTACACTTGTAAGAGAAAAACAGTGTTTTTGATGTCTTATTAATCTTGTCAATAGGAACAGCTCAACAGTTGGCTTTTACCAAGAACAGCCTATCAATCACCATGGTGCAAGCCTCACTGTTTTGCACAATAAAAATAATAATAATAATAATAAAAGAAATCAGTGTTACACAGATAAATAACACTAAGTTGGTACAGCCACCAGGTTGAATACTACTGAACTTCTGAAGTAATTTCACTTAAAAGACATGACACCCATGGCTTTACAAATCACAATGCTTGTTTTTGAAATTTGCATATAATCCAGATTGTACCTTTAAGTCCTTGCAGACTTTTAACATAAAATAGTTTGAGCAATGAATAAATAAAAATGTTTTACCCTTTCTTATCATATGGTGATCTTAGTGTGTACACACATAAGCATAAATAAGTTTTACATTTTTTATGAATAATAAATTACTGTATAAAGAATTAGAGCGCAACAGAAGATACCTCTCATTAATATATTATGTTCTCCTAAACTTACAGGAAAACAAAACTCAAAAGCCAAGAGCAACTTTGCCAACTAAAATCACACATAAGAAACAGCAAAATATAAGCAAATCAAGCATGCATATAAGCTTGAGGAAAAGATGTATCTACCTTCACAACTCACTGTTTATTACTCTTGGTCTTTGGCCTGTGGTTTAGCACTGTTTCACAAGGTCACGGTATTAAAAACTGAGAAACAAAATGAATGTCTTCTTATACAACAAATCATAATGGATAACATTAATGCATATTATAATTTAAAATTTTGCTTTCTGGAGTTTAAGTTTGCTTAGAATGTAAAAGAATTGCAGAATGATTTTAAGCTAACTTTAACTTAATAGTATTTCTTGCTCTACAGAATTTAGGTGAAGAAAATTTTAAACAGTTTGGATAATTTTAAACAAATAAGACCAAATAAAATGTTAGCCTAAAAATCCACACTAGCTTTTTATTTGCGTTTATTAAAATCCCTGAGGAAATTGGTTCGGCAAATCTAATTAGAGTTTGGCCCTTCTCCAAGAAATTCAAGATTAGATATTACTCTCATTCACCCTGTTTGGATGATTCTGCTTCATCTTCCCTGTTTGGACTTTGCTTTTGCTATCCGTTCTCAGTGGTGAACACCTACGCACAGAAGTAGTCATTCTTTCTATGAAAGAATTCTGAGAATTATTGCAAGAATTTATGAAAGAAGTAATCCTTCTTTCTTTTCTATTCACATAAGGAAATGTGTACTTGTATAAGGATTGCACCAATAACACCTTGCCTGTTTTCCCTTTAAAGCAAACAATAATGCCTTTTTATCCACAGAAATCTTAGAAACAGAAATTGCTTCTCAGATTTCATTGTAAATCCATGAGAGAGCAATTAAATAAAACCGAAGAAATGCTCTAAATGTGCCTGCTGAGAGTTAGATTATGATGGGAGATGGAAGAATTTCAAAAAGTAAAACTGTAGTCTTCGGTGGGATAGGATTTAAGCCAAAAGCAGCACTTGAACTTCTAAGTATATGCCAAAAACAAAAAGACCCAGAAAGAGAGCTGGTGTCCATGAAGTTGGTAGAAATTTTGTCTCTAAGAAAATTATTTTTTCTAGCTAGTACTAAAGATGCAAGAAACATAAATCTGCTTTTCTTCTTCAAAACGGGGGGAGCCTCTGGGCTCAGTAAGCCAGCCTGCATCACTCTTTGCATTGCGGACTTATTGGGTGTAGCCTGTCTCTTTTTTTCTTCTTCTTTTTCTTTTTTTTTCCTCTTTTATTTTGGAATAAATTTAAACAAGAATATTGTTTTGTGTTGATTTATAGAAGTTAAAGGCATATGCAAATGCTTTCTGCCAGCTACATAAATTTCCAGCCCTTCCAAAGTAGCAAGGCTGATAGGTAATTATAAATAATCACAGAATATCCAAGATCCTAAATATGTGGAAGGGTTTGCATCATTCTGTGCAAACCTACTTAGGCTAATCCTTCAGGAATTTCCTATGTGTTCCTGCAGTTTTCTGCAAATTAAAGTGTGTAAAATGAATTAGAAGGCATTCATCATTTTGGCATTTCATTGTTTGTTCATATGCCCAGCCACAGAGCACAGAAGTCGTTTCCCCACGTAATCTTGATGCCAGAATGGTAAAAATGCTATAAAATTTTAGAATGTATCTGTTAAATCTGATTACTCGACAATATTTCAGCAAGTATCTACCACCTGCTACAGCAAAATTGCATCATAGCTTGTCACCTTGCTGTTTCCTTTGCTGAATCTTTCGGAAGGACTTTCACATTAGGAAAATGAAGCCTGTGAAATTTGATGTATGAATAAGGTACACCTAAAACTCAATACTTTCTGAGTACAGACTATAGAGGACCTACGTTATTTAAAAGTGCTATATTAGGTAGCTTCTTCAGTTTTATGCAGCAGACTTGGCCCTTTGGAGCTTTGAAATTCTCTGCAAAATAATTCATCGCTTCATGGCTTGTTAATCTTCTTGC